TTCGCGGTGGGAGGTGGGGGAACTTGGGCCCCCTTCCCCCCCCCCCCCCCCCCCCCCCCGGATTTTTTAAGGGGTGTGTTGGAGAGACCATGGTATGAACTACCTGCTCGACACCCCACCTTAGGTTTTTTTCCTTTCCCCCCCGTTCCGTTCCGCTCCTGCTTCGGAACAGACGGGGAGGTGCGCGAGAAAGTTGGAGGACGCGCACGGGCATTTGGTAACAGCGCTGGCGATGCACAAGACGTCCCCTATCGTGGTATCCGGGGGGGTAGATGGGGAGTTACACGTTTGGGAATTGTCGCTGACGATGGGGACATGGGGAGGGAGGGGGGGGGGGGGGGAGAGAGAGAGATGGGCAAGGCTGGAACACTATTTACACTGGTTTTGGGTAGTATTTTTCGGCGTTATTTTTGTGCACATGTCTAGAATCCAGTGACCAGAATGCTTTTCGTAGTGATGTATGTCTACCATGATCTTGTGATTTTTTTTTTAGTGTAATTCTGGTGGGCTTTGAACAAGGAACGACAACGGTGCGCTCTCGCACACTTAGTCTACCCTGCTTTCTCCCTCCCCCCGCGCCCCCAGCTCCCCTTGTCACGAATGGTCGCGTCAAAAAGAGTGAGCCGAGTCAGCTGCTATGAGTAACGGCAGTTGGTGGGTGGTGTGACTTTGTTTTTTTGGCGATTAACTTTATGAAGGTGGAAGGTGTACGCACTAAATAACACAAGTACTGTATGAAACAACAGGCAGCGCACTCGTGCAGCATTTGAAGAGTTTTGCGATCTGGACATTTTGAGTCGTCGGTCCGTGAGATTTTTTTTTTGTGCACGAAGTGGAGCGGGGCCCTGCCTTTTGGGGGGCCTTCGAGCTTGAAGCGACCGCGGGTTTGGTCTCCGGTTCGATCTTTTTCATGTTTGCTCGATTCCTTGCAGCACGCCAACCGGCCGACTGTAAGGAGCGCTTACAGCACCCATGACCGTGCCCTCATCAAGCATCACCCCGGCACGAGTCACAGAGCAAAAGTATTTAGCGCTCTCCGCCTGTTGAAGAACCAAAAGGAAACAAAGGGAGGCAGGACTCGCACCGCGGTTCCCACAACCATACTACACGGGCAGCCCCTTTGTTGTTCTCGGCACACACACCCCCTTCCGCGAACTGTGTACGATGCAGGTTCTTGTTCGGCCAGACGGTACACGGTACTTTGTACTCTGTCAGGAACAAGGGTGCGAAATGCGCAACAACAGGATGACGAATGGTCAATGCGACGATTTTCAAACCTGCTATATAAATTAGACTATGGCAGAAAGCAGCAGCAGCAACAACAACAACATCCACAACAACGCACCCTCATCTTGTCCACCGTCCTCTGACGGGCGCTACTGCTGTCCGATGCCATCCATACACAGCAACTACCGGTCGGTGTGGTGGTAAGCAAAGAAGCGGGGATTCACAACCCTCGGTGCACCACGACTGCACTGTAGACTATTTCTACCCCCCACCTCGAGCAGGTACAACCGTCGGCACATCAAGGGTTAAACACTAAACAATTACACGAAGTATAGCGATCATCTTCGTAAGATATCATATATTATTTTAGACTACAGCATACTGCTGCTGTGTCGTAAGATGGGTGACATTCGACAAGGCACCACCACCAAAAGGCGAGAGCTGGGGGGGGTCCAAGTTCTACAATACATTTACTTATAGTAGACCAGGCAGAGAGTACGGTGTTTCGTCGAGAGATAGATCCAGCCGGGTTTCCCGGTAGATGTCGAGCGAGGGAGACTGATTTCTGATCTTTCCGTGCAGATGTCGAGATCGGCCGACCACCTCTGGTGTCTGGTTTCCGGTTTCTGATTTCTGGGCAGATGTCGAAATCGGGACCTCTGGTTTCTTGGCACATGTCGAGGAGATGTATGTGCAGCTTGTATCAGATTGATTTCTCGGCAGGCAGACGGCTCTCTGTGTACATACTTGCTCCCTCGTCGTTCGCACGTAGGTACGATAGTTAAGTTCTTCCTGCCTGCCTTGCCTGCCTTGCCTGCCTTGCCTGCCTTGCCTGCCTCTCCCTCCGATCGAATCATCCACCGCCCCCCCCCCCCCGCCCCCCTTCTCGTTCTGGGCCGAGCTCTGAGTATTGCTTTTGAAATGAAGCGTGAAACACCATTGTAGCAGAAAAACATACCTACCATGTTTTCATCCAAAAACAAACTTTTTTTCAATGGGAGAAGGGAAGTCCAGGAAAAACGACTTAGAAGAAGAGAGGATGTGTTTTTCTTAGCATGTTGTCAAGATCCCTTCGCCAGTCGAGTTCTTACAGAATGCGCCACCACGGAAGATCCGCTAGATGAATTTTTCTTCAAACAGATCTTGTCTTCTTATTTTGAGAGGTGCGTATGTATGTAGAGGTATAACCTACTACGCATTATGCCGTCGCGTCGGAGACAAGCCCCCAAATTGCGGCTCTACAACTACTTTACAGAATGGATAT